TGAACTTTTTCTGCACTTTTTCGATCATGTCTGAGTATTTGAGAGTTTGAGGAGACCAGATACATGCAGCATACTCAAGCTTGGATCTAATAAACGCATTATATAAGGTTAGCATTGTCTGTATATTCGTGAAATTGAGTGTATTTCTGATAACGAAACCAAGAAGTTTGTAACACTCATTTGTTAGGTATTCAATGTGTAAGTTGAAGTTAAGGTTGGTATTGAAAAACACGCCCAGGTCCTTAACGGAGGTGACTCTTAGTAAGACCTTTCCATTCATCTTATAGTCAAAAAGTAAGGGATTTTTCGATCTAGTAAAAGTAAGGACTTTACACTTATTGATATTTAGTTTTAGTTTATTTTTGATACACCACTTAATTACTGAGTTAATGTCCTCTTGAATATTTAAACAGTCACTTGGGGATTGGACTTTATTAAAAAGTTTTAGGTCGTCCGCAAATAGTAGTGCTTTCGAGTTTTTTATCACTCGCGGTAAATCATTTATGTATAAGAGAAACAGAAAAGGACCAAGAAGTGTTCCCTGGGGAACGCCTGATGAGGGATAAAATTCGGCTGAATTCACACCATTGAATTTCACTCTTGTTTTACGGAGAGATAAATATGATTTCAAGAATTTGACGGTCGGATTACTTACGCAATTTAAAACAAGTTTGCCCATAGCCGACCTCGGTTTCAATTTTTTAATTGCTTCCAGTATCTCGGATTCATGTAACTGATTCAAGTGCAATTTGGATAGCACCAGGTCCGATTCCACGTCATCTTCCGGGTCATCGTTCCTCTCCATAGTGTAGACTGACTCGAAGAAGGATGCAAAGGCGTCCGCAATGCTTCTGGCGTCCGTTAACGAGGTGTCTTTGTACTCAAAAACTCCAGGTAGTTGACTAATCTTCCTCAACGACTTGATGTAGCTCCAGAATTTATTGGAATTCTTCCGCAGATCCATTTCAATTTGATTAATGTACCTCTTATGAGCAATGTGGATCATTCTTTTGAGTTCTTTTCTGGCTTCAATGAAGTCTTCCGATTGGCCCTGTAACCGAAACTTATTTTTCTGTTTGATTTTCTTAATAATGTCTATATTAAACCAGCTAGGATACTTATTGGCACTCCTAATTGTAACTTTGGGGACACATTCATCGAAAATGTTCATTACCGTTTGATTAAAGCTAGTTACTGCATCATCTACCGATTTGAAATTCTTCAGGATAAGAGACTCCTTCCAATTAATATCGCGAAAAAGGACGTACATTTTAAGAAAATCTGCTTTTTTGAAATTGAAGTTGGTTAATTTAGTAATTCGCTTAGCTGGTCTATGGACTTTGTAGACTATTTCTAGTGCAGGATGAAGTGGATTAATTTTATCCAGTGAGTCGACAGCAGATTTAATTTCCGCGTTTAAGTTAGTTAAAATTAGGTCAAGGGTTCTATTATTGCAGTTTTTAAGTTTAACCGTATTAATGAGTTTTAAGTTGTACATCGAAGCTATATTTTTAATTACTTTGCATTTAGCACTCGCGTTTTCGAAATTATACGTGGCGTCAACAATTTGTGGTAGGTTAAAATCGCCTGCTATTAACACTTCCGATGAATGCAACATGTTTTCAATTGTTTCTAAACTTTTGGTAAAACTCACGTACTTATCAATACCAGATTTCGGTTGAAAGTAGACAACACCAATAATGTATGAAGTATTATTAATTTTAAGTTTGACCCATATTTCATTTAGATCACTTTGAAATTCCAATTTTTCAGCATTCAAATCGGTCTTGACTGCGATTAAAACTCCGCCTCCCATGGTGCACTTCATTTCTTCGTAATTACGGTCATTGCGAAAGACCGCATATTGATTGTTTAAATACTCAGCGTCATGAAAATTTTCCGTTAACCAGGTCTCAGTCAGTAGAATAATGTCGTAATTTGTAATTGCCAATTTATTTTTGAAAGATTGCGCTTTCGTTCGCATTCCACTTACGTTCTGATAATAGATTGAGAGCGTTGATCCGTACCTATTTCCTTGCTTGATTAGTGTTGGGGATGGCCTAAAAAATCAATTCTGCTTCTTTCTTGATCGAGTCGTTTTTTGTAGACTGGGCAATCAACACTCCAGGCCGGGTGCTGTACATCCAGTTTCATTTTTAGTTTCTCAACGGCGTTGGCACAGTTACTGCATTTGATTTCCGCGTCCGAAGCTTTACAGCTCGCTAGGTCATGGGCTCCCGCACATTTGGGGCAGGTAGTAGTTTTGCTACAGTCAGTTGCCTTATGTCCGAACCCATTGCATTTGTAGCATCTTCTAGTTGTCACAGCATCATAAATTCTGCAACGGTCCCATCCTATGTTAAGCTTTTGTTCACTTAGAATTTTCCGGTAACTATTACCGTCAACCTCAGCGTAAGCCAAATACCTGTTAGGATTTCTTTTATCTTCCGTTATGTGTACGACGTTTATGTACGCGGCTTCGTCGAGGAATTGATTCTGCGCGAGAATCATTTCCTTCATTTGGGTACTCCCGATCTTGTCATTGAGGCCTACGATTTTAATCTTCGGCATCTTCTGTTTTGGTAAGGAAAGAATGTAGTCGGATCCCAGTTTCGTTTCGGCTTCCTCCTTAAGTTTGGCTGCAGCTTCTTTATTTTTACATTCAACAACAATGGTTCCTCTACGTAGAGTTTTCATTCCGGTAACTTCTCGGGTAATTGGATCCGATATTTTCTTTGAGGGTGGTGAAGGTTTGCTTGGAGGGTTGGTTCGCGTCCTTGGGCTTAACAATGATAACTGGGTCATAGGTTTTCTGTTTCAACTTGTCCGCATAAGTAAGCTTCACTTCAGATTGAGTTTGGAGAACTTGCGCTAGATCCTTGCTGATGCTGACATTTTGGGTATTTACCTGGTCTAAAGTATCCTTTAATAGCTTCTCGTGGTTCATCAGTTTCTCGTGCTGACTTTCCATAACTCTATCCCAGTTCATCGTCACTTTGTTGATGTTAGTCAAGATATTCCTGAGGCTGTGTGATTCGTGGATAGCGCAGGGGTCACAGAACCAATTAAAGTTCTTTTTTGAGTTAATAAATTTAACTTCATCGTCACTGACTTTAACGCACTTCGTGTGAAAGTAAGTTTGGCACCAACTAGCACAAAGAATAACTTTATCTGTACGATTAAGATCCACCCGACAAACACCACAGATAGCAGTTGGCATTGCGGCGGCAAGTAAGGGTGGTACTCACCCTCACGATTTGGTTTATGTTAACAAATTAGTTCTATTCTTAATTGACACTTATAATCGCGATCGATCACTCGTTACGACGGCGCGCACTCGAATTATACCTATGATAAACTTCGACGGTTGCGTTGGTGACCATTGCACCAACCAATGGTATACTTGTTGCTATGGCAGTTATTCCAAGAATATCTTATTCTGCGTAAATGTGTAATTGTAGAACCTGCCCTAAATCGGAGGTTTAATTTTGAACGAACTAAAACTTTCCAGACAAAACTCAAATCGTTTTAAAAAAATCCAAATTTTTTGGGTTTATATGGTAAAAATAGAATTTTCAAATCCAAAGTTTCCTAACTAACTTTTATGCACCAGTCAAGTTTAGAATTACAATAATCTTTTCTCTAAGATTCAAAGATTACAGAATTGTGTTAGATTAGATACAACGCTGCTTCAGTGACAATGAATTAGGAAAGAAAAGTGGAGCCTCACCGACGGTAACACAGCACCTGTTTGAATTTTTAAATGATGCGAAATTTCTCGGAACGTCATTTCTGGTGTATCCTTGTATTTTAAAAGTTACGAACAAACCGCCATTTTGTTAATACAACTGTTTGGGGTTAACGAGTAGAAGAAAACTTCACTACGTAAGAATGCGTACTTCTCTTCAGGTTCTCGGCATTGAACATTTACACAGCAGTTTTAACAATTTTGTTCATTGTAACAACAAAATACATTAGCGCGCCTACTGAAATTGTCATAAGGCAGTTTTGTCATCTCCCTACGTAAACTATTCTTACGCTACGTTATCTCTGTTCATTGCGTCCTTCTAATTTTCGTGATAATCCGTATTTTGGGTGCGTTAGAATTGCTTTTTTTTTATTTTTTAGCAATAACTACTGAACTCGTGTTGTAATATTTTACGTTCCAAACACAAATACTGGACCCGATGGTTGTCAAAAAAACGAATAGGGTTAAAATGTTATTAAAAAACAATGCTCAATAGAAATTAAACGATTAAAAATACGCACCACAGTTGCACCGCAGTTATCAAATCGATTCTTTGAATTTCCACCAAGAATATCACTTATTTGGACAAAAAAGGGCAATTAATTGTTCAGTTATGCGTGTCTAGAAAGATCATTTCCGACAACTTACAGGAGTTCCTCACTAAAAGGTTGAAGGAACCTCGAGTTTTTTTATAAAACGCTCCTCAAGCTCTAGAGTATTTATGCTAATTGGGAAAAATTAAGTTAAAAGATAATCTAACTTTCTGCATAAATCGCGGTAAAAATTTAATTAAAATTGTGTTGACAAAAGTGCAGGGTGGGTGGAGGACAGTTATACGTGTTGGGGATAGTACGTGTACACTGTAGAGAACGTTAGTCACTTCTTCAAATAAGGACCGGTGTGTACTTACACTCATTTTGCACTGTTTTCTACACGAACATGAAGCAGATATCTACATGAATTAAGATTTGCATTTTGAGCCTCTAAAATTTAAAAATACATCAACGGCTTGCTTAAGGGGGTCGTATTTCCAACGAAATGTCTATATTCATCGTTTAATTAACGTTGTCTGCTCGCTTACCTATTTGTTAGCATATCGGTATCTGTTGCGGAATACTAAAACTCACTCTATTATGAAATGCAGTAATTACTTAACGTAGTAAAACGAGACCTCGTTCCCTAGTCTTTAGGCAATTAAAAAAATGCACGCAGAATTCTAATGTAGGTACTAATTTGTATGTGTCTGTTTCAGATGTGTTGTCGGAAACCCAACAAAAAAATTCAACAATTTCACCACCAGCAGCACCTCCAAAGGTGCTGTAATACAACAGTGACGCATACACCAGGCTGTGACTTCGAGGGAATCTCCGAGAAGCATTGGGGCGAAATACTAGAACGAACTTTGTCCTCAACGTCTTTACACGCCCTTCAAAGGGCGTATTCGCAACCGCGTATGGACAGATGTAACGGTCTACAAGAAATGAAAATGTTCGATACGTCCGTACCAGATTTATGAAAAAAGGATAAGACCACGCAGACGTTCGACACCAAATCCGATTATCGAGAAACGTCGTTGTCGAAATGATTCTGTTTGGTCTTATCAATGTTTATGAAAAAGATTTATGTGTAATATCGCGAGTGATAAATGTAGTTAATAACCGGAAATAATGAATTGCGTTCGTGTGACTATTCAATAAACTTTACATAATACGTAAACGTTCGAATATTTTGAAATTGTGATTATTGTATAAAATACGATTGTTAGTTATTTTACTTGTTCCTGTTTATAAAGTAATTTTTCTGTATAAAGAACTTACAATTTTGCATAGTTGTTATTCATTAATTTATTTAATAATTGAACTTCAACAATCAGCCCTTATGGGGTTGAGTTCCAGCAATGTTTGAACAGATGAACCTAATCTTGCAACCCCTCTTCTCCCCGCTATATTGCTTCCTCACCAGTCACCTGTACACTTCTATTACAGGATCGTCTGTTCGTTTGTCAAATTGAATTTGCGAGGATCCCAGGGCTCTTTTGCGGAAACTCTTTTAGGGAGAAAGTTTTCAGGTCTTGGTACAAAGGATTAAAATTCTGATGCTCCCTTTGGTACCAATTTTCAGTATACTTCGTCTTGTGGTTACTGCCCCTAGACTAATGTCACGTGGTTGGAAATGTTTCCCGTTGGTTTTTTATCGTTCCCCATACTGATATGACGGACTATCCTCTCATGGGTTTTCACTCATGAAAATAGACGACATGGCCAGGAATACATCAAGCATACCCCCACTTTTGAATCTAAATGGTAGTACCTCCTCTGCGCGTTTGGAAAACCACACTTTTAAAGCGAAACAAGTAGGCTCAATAGGTATTTACATGTTACCCGCCATCCTTCGTTTTTGTGTGGTTAACTATACATACGCCTTATTATGAAGCGTATTTTTTTAGATGATATGCAGAAACATTCTAAAAGCGTAGGCGCTGGAGTCGCAACCCTTTTCCAGATTCTTTAGAGTTATTTGAAAGGTTGTCAAAGAAAATAGATCGACGAATAGAGAAAGAGCCGGCTCGTCTTTTTCGCTGCATGGAGCACGTGAAAGATTGACGCCTTGTCTTCTTCCTGGCCCGTCTGCTGTTATTGTGGAAGTAGAAGATACACACGAACTGTTCATCGGGAAAAGTAATATTTGCACATGTCTACTGTAAGTTGGATTGCGTTTTTCTCTATACAGGGTGTAGTACCTAAGATCCCTCGGATCATAATTCCTTTACCATAAAAAATATCGAAAAAACTCTAAAAACCTATAAAATCATATCACTAGATTTAAAAGCAACTTCGCTTTAGCCATATCAAAAAATAGAGTACATGATACCTCATATTTGAAAATGGGTGTAGGATTCTACAACGCTTTCCCAGAACACATAAAATCAATTTCGATATATAAACATTTCAAAAAATAAGTTTCTCATTTCTTTTTTAAATGGCTTTGTATCCACTGGGTGCGTTTTTTTATCAATGTTACATGTTATGTACTAACTGTTTTATCAGTGTTTTTGTTTTACAATTTTATTACTTGTTAACTCTTTTACATATTTTTAACTTTTATTCGATATCTCTATTTTAATCTATCTTTATATATATGTATATTATATATTTATATATATATATACATCCAAATTATTGTAATTCCTGTATATTTTACGCCAAATGGCACAAAGAAATAAATCAAATCAATCAAAGTCCTAGAGCAAAATTGTACATGTTATACCTCTAACTTTAACGATTTCGCTGTTATAATCTTTTTTCGTCAAAATTTGAGTTTTTCAAAAATTTTTTGAGAGAAACTAAATGGCGCAGGGAGCTAAGTTTTGGACTGAAAGACGTCTTCCACAGTCACGCAGTTTTTGTTAGGTACTTTATAAAAAAAATTAAACTCTTCTTGATCGCAAAAAGCGAAATAAATTCTTCTACGAAAACTAACTCGGTACTAACGTAGCAAAGAGATTAATTAAATTTGCCGCACTTTGGCCCTAAACTTGCCGTAAAGCCGATTTTAAAAACTTCAACGAAACGTAGTACGGCGTAAACTCTGGCTAAAAAGCGACGCTTTCTTTCTTCACGTCCTATTTAAGGCGAAAACCCTTTTTGCGAGAATCAAAATTATAACAACCAATCATACACAGTTGACAACAAAAGCTATCCCCTCAACGTATACGTTAATAGACCAAAAAATAGAGGTTGAATAATTTTTATAAATCAATTTGTTATGAGACATTAAGAGACTTAAGAGACATTAAGAGACTTAAATTCTAGGAAAAAATAAAATTTCATCTCTCTTAACTACACAGAAAAGGCGGCAAATCACATCCACCTGTCAATTAAATTTACAATTGATAACAGAAAAGGCCAAACAAAATTCCCAGAAATGTTTACGTTAAATAAAATAAAAATGTAAACAAAAACAACCTTGACCGCTGTCTCGTATGACACAAATAATCCCCATGCCGTTACAAAGACCAACGACAAAATTTAATTACAAAAGTTTATTACACAACAAGGAGACCGCCCTTATCCATCTTAATTAGGATGTCCGAAAGTTTCATTCTGCCAGACGAAATAAACACAGAAACATTAAGGGCCTAAATGCCAAAATGCCACTTAAAAATGTCAAAAATGCAAAATTCGTCGTTTTTCGTTGTTTTTATTCTTTCTGGCCTGTTGTCGGCGTCCAATATTTATTTCTATGGTAAAGTTAACATTTAAGTTTGGGGACCTCCCGCAGCTCCATATGCCTGGGGCCTAAATACCAATATGGCGCCTGGAAAGTCAAAAAACAGTAAAGAAGTTGTTCTTTTTCCTCATTTTTGCTACACTGGTCACTCATTTCTCATTTCGGTGGCCCAGAGCAATAATATGCGAATTGCGACCAACCATTCGGATTTTACACGCCTGAAGGGCTTAAATGCGGACCTGGAGACCCGTCTCATATAAACGTTAACTATGGAACCAAGAGACAGAAGTTGGTTTGGTGGCGTAATTTTAGGGCATTGGTTAACTAAAAATATATGAAAACATGCTTCCCAAGTTTTCTTTGGTTTTTTTTATCAAAACGTAACTCTTGGTAGTTGAAATTGTTCAGAATATTGAACACTAATATTATGCAAAATCCTTATGGAAATGATTCTGCGTTTGAAGCTTATCAGCCGCCATACTTCCTTTTTTCGCAGCTTGTTCACGTTGTACTGAAGCTAAGAAGACAAGAAGTTACTTGAAATCTGTAACAACTAACAAGTGATACAAATGGCATTAACGCCCAGCAAGAGAGATGCAGTTGCCATGGTCCGGAAGCGTTTTCCTTCCTTTAACTGTGCTGTTTGAAGGAAACGATGCTTTGACACAGATTGAGGACGTGGCCCAAGGAAAGCGTGAAATTGCTACTTCTTTTTAGTCCGTTATTTGGAACACCGCCTCTGAAGGTTCACGGCGCCTTCCTTCTGTAACGAAGTGTGGATGGCGTATCCTGGATAATACAATGAAGCCAATTTTGATGCCACTTGAATCCATTCCTCGTGCGTGCGTCCTCTTCATGTCTTGTGGCTGCAAAACAAGACTCTGCAAGTGTCGGGCGGACACTTGACGAAGATGGAGAATCCATTCCATGCACTCAGAGCTGCGGTTGTAGGGGAAAATGCTAAAACAATGGCAGCGAAAGTAACTTTATTTTACCTGACTTTGAAAGTGATAGGGAAAAATCACAGTGTTTTAAAAAGTTTAACTGTAACGTTCTCATTCGTTAAATATTTGATAGTTTGGATACTAATATTTTACATAATATTAGTGTTCAATATTCTAAACAGTTTCAACTGCCAAGAGTTTTAATTAAAAAATCAAAGAAAACTTAGGACGCATGTTTTCATATAAAGAAATAAGAAAATTTTTAAACTAAATACAATAGTCCGGATTGGTAGTCGCAATTCGCATATTATTGCTCCGGGCCACCGAAATAGGGAATGGGCCAACTCCAATTGCAGCTAGATACAGCAATCTCTGGCTTTGGTTTTGTTATCTCTAATTTAAGGAAGGAAGGAAGTGGAGAACAGAGATCGTACGTTGAACGATGTAAGTCATTTTGCGTCCTTCCCACGTATGAACTTTGGTCACTCCTTTGCTCTTTGCTTGTTGTGCCATGTCTATCCAAAATATTTTTTATCTCCTCATTCTAGACCTTTGTCGAGATCTCTCCGGATGTTCTTTCGCTTCACTGACATCTCCTCCTTCATCTTATTCAAATCTTCTTCTTATCTGCTGATTTTCTATTTTTTGAACAATTGCACCCACTCCCAATTCCATTATTACGATGTCACTGCGTACTCTGTTCTTGCGGGTTGCTCCTTTTACGCTTCATTTACGTAGCTTGCTCTTCGGTACTGTATTCAATTTCCAGGTCTCGCTCTTGAACAAGAATTTGCTTGTATATATATATAGGTATATTGTTCTGTAGGCTGTATACTGCCTTATGCCTTTAATTTCCCTGCTGTACAGGAAGTTTCGATACAACTTCGGTATTTTTAAATATAAGGCTGTTCAGTTTTTGTTATAGTTCGGCATTTTAAAAGACATCTTTGTACGCGATTTGCACTCACTGAGCACAACACAGGATTAAATAAACACTGCTAAAGAGCTTCTCTAATACTCTTCTCCGATATGTTGAGTTGTAGAGTTGCCATTGAAAGCGATCAGTCCAATTTCACTTTACCTCGACGATCACAAAGAAGCAGAGCATAGGTTTATTTTATTTCTCAGATTTCACGCTGGTAGGGCGATGAAACTAAATTCAAATCGTGGCGAAACATATTATTAAATGATACTATCATGCCACTAAAAGAAATAAGGCGTTAAATAGGGGTATACTAGGAGAAAAATTCAATTAACGGTGTCACTTGAAAGACAACCATCCCTCGTAATTCAGTTTGAAAATGTAATTTAAAACCCGCTTGTCAACCACAAAAATTTGGTGTAAAATTCGAAAAGTCTCATTTGCGAAATTCCTTATAAGTATCTCGGAATTTTCATCTCCGAGAAGCATTGGCTAACATAAAAAAGTACAGTTAAACAGGTAGGTCACTCTCATTAAATCTTACCCCAGGACACATCATTTTTCCTTTTCCTTTTGTTTTAAAGTTTGGATTATAATTTGTTGCATAACATAATAAATACTTTCACATACTGTAGCCAAGCACGTAAAATATTTATTGGTAATCAAAATTTGGAGAAGTTTCCAGGCAAGCCTATAATTCCCCTGGGGATCGTAGGAACCGGTCCTTACAGTCAGTAATATTTTATTTGTTAGTCACCTGCTAATAAATGTGATATTAAACATAACTTAGTTCTGAAAGTAACACAGACGGATTAATATCAAAGTTCTATTGTAAAAGCTTCAAGCATAGCTGCGTGTTTGTCGCAAAAAAAACTCGAAATATTAAATGACAATGTAAATTTTTCAGGTGTATTGCGACAATTCTTCGATTATTTTAGTAAATTGTATAGTCTGGTAGCACCGCTAATTCTATAATATTATCCACTTCAACCTCAACATTCCTCTCTTTTTGGATTAGCACTCCCAAGTGTTTAGGTATATAATATACATTTACTTGCTCATATCTTGTTGGTCCAGTTCTATTATATATTTGTAATTCTCTCAGGAAAGAAGTAGATATTACATTGTCCTCCTCTTCTCTAGTAGGCAGAATAGTGAGATAGAGGGTTTCTGACGGTCCCTCTCTATCAGACCACAGACAATTCTGCTATAGTATAAAAGTTGGGAAATGAACTGAACATTGAAAAGCAACACCGCAGGATTCTGCAGGGTGGTGATGAATCAAGTTGATCTAGAACGACTTGCACACTGTTTACTGATGCTCTTCTTTGAGGAGAGCTATCCGCTGAATCGGATTAAAACAAATAGAAGCACTCCCTGGTCGAATAACGAGCTATCAGAAAAGCCACCAGAAGAGTTTTAAAAAAAAACCAAGTGCACTGGGTGCTGTGGTGAATATAGAACATCCCTCACTGAGTATAGTGAGGAAGTCAACAAATTCGTGAAGACTATCAATATTCCCTCTCAAAATCACTTTGGAAGCAGGATCGCCTAAACATTATCCTGCTTGTGCTGCTATGTGTCCAGGTCATCTTGCTTCAAATTTTAGGTCAGCAGCACCATCCCCTCGGGAGATATGAATTTTTGAAATTTTGTTGCTAACTTCCCTCTCAGCAACAATTTGGAAGCAGGATCTCCCAAACATTTTTGGCCTAAATTTATTTATTGCTTTATGCTGTATCTTTCATTGCAAAGACGGGTATTATGCCCACCGGTGCCTGAGGATCCACAAAGCTTGTATTCTAATTTCATTTTTAGTTTGTATTTTTATTTATGTTTTTGGTGTGGCTTGTCCATGCCGCACGCCCAACGTAAGCTTTGTCGAAGCTCGGTGGCTGTTTCACTGGAAGATCCGCTTCCCTTGGCTAGCCGTGGCCAATTCCGTTTTCCTTCTAGGTGTTCACGGCAATCTAAATAATTATACCCTCAAACGAAACATGTTAAATTCGATTATGCTTTTGCTTTACAAGACGTACGAAAATGTATTCGTAACAAATTCTAGGGAGGGAAAGCAATACGAACGTTCCTTAATAATAATTACTTACTTTGGTATTTCACAATTACGTTATTTTGATCTTACTGAACAGAAGGAAAGTTCGGCTTATAAGAAAAGCAGGCAATCACATCTGGCAGTGAGTACCGCAAAGTCTATCTCGAGGCAGATTTCAAATTCAAAAACGTTAATTAATTACTTGTTTGTGTTTAATTACGAAATTAATTCTCAAATACCCATGAAGTATATACAGCTGCACGCTTCCTTTAAAGTGCAGTAATCACTGTCGTTTACATTATCGATTATCCCTCTCTACCAACGTTAATTAAATTGTATCAAACCCTTTGAACGAGTATTTATCTTACATGCAAACTACCCGCATCACTCTCTACAATTATTCCACTTAATTATAGTACCCAATTCAATAAACAATTCTAAACTGAATCACACTCGACTAATTTTATTCTTAGCACTGGTTTCTCGGCTAAACGTAATTCGGGGATGCCTGAAAAATAAAAACAGTAGCTTCGAACATTGTTTAATTCGGCGGAAAGTGATAACATCAGAGTTTTTTGTAGGGCACTGAAAAGAAATTTCTGTTCAAAAAAGTTCATCCTTTTTATTGGTTTGCATTGTCTTGTAGTCATTCTATTACAAATTTCTTTGCGAACAAGCTTGTTTCACTTTACCGCTTTTAACTACATTAAAATTAACACGAATTCCTCTAAGAAATAAATAAGTTAATAATTCTATAAAGCGCTTTGAAATCTCAAACAGAGGGGGTTTAGTTATCTAATGTGTGCGATAAATGATTTTTGGAATTGAAATTCATATGTAATCGTAAATTCATAGATGTAATACGTTACCGTAGGAGTAGTAAAGTTAACTGCGTAATGATTGCATTATGAAATGCAGGAATTTAGTATCAGATCCAGATTCAAAGCGATTAATATTCATATCTCCACCACAAAGGATGTAATCTGATGAAAAAGAACACTTGGAGGCTGCAAATAAGATCACAGCCAATTATATGTTCCTACTCACCACCACCTTGCCAATTATCAACAGTTGTACTAGTATGGTAGATATATACAGTGCTATTCACTTAGAAGTAGACATAGGGATTTCCTATGATTACTTTTAAAGGACAAAAATCCTTTTGAAAGATGCCAAATTTTATGCAACCGAAATAACATGCGCACGCATTTTGCATTATCAATCTAGATTTTAATAAAAACGACCGTAAATAGTATGCTTGTAGTTTCTGATGAAGAGATATTATCTATATTCGGCCGCTATTTCCCTTAAGTTTCTCATGGGATTCTCTTCCACAAAAATTAAAACGTCCAGTTTCATATCCTCCGTTAAAATCTCACACAAAGGAAATACTTGCGAGAACTGGTAGACATTTTTGGGTAGGTATTTGAGGCACGCTGAAAACTTGCCTAATGCTTCCCCAATAAGTTTTAGTGTTTTGATTCACAAATCAATGACGCAGGGCCACAGACTCCTGATTTCAAGCGTACATTATTTTTTTCCAACTTTGAAGGCACCTGGCAAAGTGTTAGCCTGCATTTCTGTGTTTGGGTATTAATGGAGAAGTGCGTTGGACAAGTTTTCAGCGTGTCTCAAGTACCTACCCCAAAATATCTACCAGCTCTCCTACTAAAATTAAAAATACGGTAGCCAAAGCAATTACATTCAAATTAATTAATGTGACAGAAAATTAGGCATCCCTCAGAACAGGTTTTGTCATTTAAAGGTACACACTGGAAATCCCTATGTCTACTTCTAAATGAATATCGCTGTATACTTGATGTAAAGTATGACTTGCCTAAAGATCTAAATATGACAAAAAAATATTGTACTATGATGATGGCCGAGAAACATGAGCAAAAGCTATCAAAAATTTTAGTATTGCTGGAAAGTAAAAGAAAGAATTTCTTCATAAAATCGATACAATCAAGGACTTTTTTAATTTTCCGAAACGGAGTAACTTCACACGATTAACTAGTAATCAATACTTCAACCGAGGATGAAATGAGTATAAAAATGTTATTAGGTACACAAAATAACTAATTTACTTACTTTTTAAAGATGTTGATAAGGCTGTATGAATGCCTATAAAAGTGAAATTCGAATTGACAAATTCAGTTGTTTGCCCGCTTCCTTAGGTACTCACAAAATGGTAAAAGTGGTGTGTGTCTTGCTAGTAGTAGTGGTCGGTCATCTACAGGCGGCCAAACTACGTAAGTTATATTATTACCAGGTTGTAATATGATTTTCAGTTATTTATCTTCACATTTAGCGAAATTCATCGTTCCATGTAGCAAATCAGATCCAAATCTTAACGAGTGTGCGAAGCAGCATGGTCAAGACGCAATACCATCCATACTAGAAGGTACCGATAATTTGTTTTCTAAACTTGACGTTGTCATGCTAAATTACAGGGAACGCAAAGTTCAAAGTGCCCAATTTGGTACCTTTACATATACCGCAAGTGGATTTCTCCACGGGTGATTTACATGTGGAACTCACCAATGTAACAATACATGGCTTGGAAAGGACGAAAATTGAAGAAGTTCAGTGAGTACCTCGCGAAAATCTGGTTTCCTTACCTAACGGACTTTTCCAGCATCGACCTAGAGAACCAGCACTTTGGACTGACAGTGTCGATTGACGTGGTGTCACTGATTGCCGACTACAATATTTCAGGAAGTATACTCACAATTCCTCTATCTGGCGAAGGAAAGGCCAACGTCACGCTTGGTTTGTATCACAGTATACACAAATAGCGCGAATTGAATTTCATTTTTAGTTGGAGGCGAGTATAAGTATCACTTCAATTATACCCTAAAAGAGAAAAAGAAAGGGCAGTATATCGAAGTTCAAGATGATGAGTTCACTTTCAATACCAAAAATGCATATTTCCAATTGGATAATCTTCTTGGAGAGGAGAGTGAAATAGGTATGTACTTACCCAGAGATGAATGCCTCAGACACTGTCTGTTACAGGTAAACATATAAATAAAATTATAAATGACGATTGGGAAAGTGTTCAAGCCGAAGTTGGGCCTGTGCTAAAACAAACCGTAAGCACTCTAATTAAATCGATTGTTACTGGCTTCACCAACAAGGTTCCATTCCGTTATTTCTTCCTTCCTTAAACTAAAAAATTCACCAAGATATAATTATGCTATTATTGTATAATGATGTTAATAAACATTCAAAACTTTTGGAGAAAATGATTTCGGAAATGACTGACCCCACCACCTGTGGTAAGGTATACCATGTTTTAGTATGGAAAATTCAATACTTTTACTATTTCTAATTCTGCTATACTAATACCATCACGAGTACACGATGGATTTTCAAAATTTTAATTATTATTGAGTCCTAGAATTTCGGGTTAACTAATGTGAGGGAAGTCAGGAAGTATACTAGTAAAGTTCAGATGCAGCTTTCAGAGCTGTAGAATCGCAACCTAGAAGTTATGCATATAGCGCATTGTATAGTCAACGGAGTGGAAAAACAAAATAAGATGCTGCTGAGCTCACATTCTCTTCTTCGACTGGAAAATATACTATTGTTTTAGATTCTGACGTCGATTTTCTAGTTGCTTGACTACATTTTCAATTCAAAGGGCTGTAATTTTTGATCTAGTAGCCCAATCTTGGAACTGTTTGAAATTATGGATTCTACAGGCCACATTCTATAAGAAAATTTTTTCCGGGTCGATCTGAGACAATTTTTTTTTCGGGGCTCAAAAAAAGGCAGTGTATAACCTTCCTTTTTTACCAAAAATGACTACACCAAAATTTCTCGGGAAAACACTTTTTCTTATTAATTTTGGTGCGTAGAATCCAAAACAATTCTTACTTTTTCGATTAGACTTCTCAATCAAAAGTTATGGACTAGAGACCAATTTCGAAAGAAAATTCAAAGGGTTGTAACTTTTGAACTAGTAGCCCAATCTTGGAACTGTTTGAAATTATGGATTCTACAGGCCACATTCTATAAGAAAATTTTTTTCCGGGTCGATCTAAGACAATTTTTTCTTCGGGCCTCAAAAAAAGGCAGTGTATAACCTTCCATGTTTACCAAAAATCGACTACACAAAAATTTCTCGAAAACACTTTTTCTTATTAATTTTGTGCGTAGAATCCAAAACAATTCGTACTTTTTCGATTAGACTTCTCAATCAAAAGTTATGGACCAGAAACCAATTTCGAAAGAAAATTCAAAGGGCTGTAACTTTTGATCTAATAGCCCAATCTTGAAACTGTTTGAAATTATGGATTCTAGAGGCCACATTCTATAAGAAATTTTTTTTCCGGCTTGATCTGAAACAATTTTTTTTTCGGGCCTCAAAAGAAGGCAGTACTTTCAAGTTATTCAAATATTTGAGAACAATTTAGAAATGTTTAGGGAAAATTTCCATTGACACAAAATCAAATATAAAAATCCGATACAACTGAATACCGAACGATCCTGGAGTGAAACTTTTTGACTCGATAGTCTACGTAACTTAAAAACAATAGGGATCTTTCTTATATCCTTAATACCTTTGAAAGTATTTTAATACTTTTGACTATTCGAATACATTCTAAAGTATTTGAATACTTATTTTTTAAAGTATTTGAATACTTTTCAATGTATCTGTATCTAGTATTCGCTTGTTCTGGACGTAAAAGTATTTAGTATTCAAATACCTTTGATTTGTGTAAAGTATTTACTATTTAGTATTCAAATACTATTTGAAAGTATTCTGCCCAGTTCTGCGCATAATTTATAGTAAAGTGGATCCTCTAAATTTCGACACCCTGTAAATTTTCTACTTGATCGGGTCCAACCTTTGAAATACAAAAAGGATTCAACTTCACCTATCATTGAAAATGCAATCGAAAACACCAATTGCAATCTTCAGCTCGGTTATTATGGGCTATTTGTCTTTGAATTGTCACCCAGTCAGTTACTGTCGTTGCCGCGACGCCTGCCAGTAATTTTCCAGGAGGCTTTGTTTTGAGTACCTATACTTCCTTCGGTACGGAACCTGTTTGGCTCCCTAAGCATTTGGTCAAGGGGTTCGCTTGGGTGTCAACATCTAAGGTCAGGGGCCCTTCTTTCCTATTCATTGTGTTCCAGCCCTCCTAGTACATTTATATTGCGTCGTAGCTTCTTGATGATCTGTTTTATTTCCCTTTCGTACTGTTTATGAACTGTATGTCCAGTTTGTAGTACCATATTAATTGTTTTAATTGGTAGCTATCCATCTTATAACGACTCAAAACGGGGTGAAATTGACTAAGTGGATTTATAAAGACACTAAACCTTCCCCATACTTCTTTTAATTGTTTCAGGTTTTAGATTCAAGGCATTAGGTGACAGCGACTATAGTTTCGACCCGAAGGTCATTATCAAGCTTAAGTTTAAAGGAACATATAAAAGTGGTTGAAAATTACATATTAAAATGGTACATTTGGTTATCAATATGGGGAAAAAATTACTAATTAGAACATGGAAACAATTACAATATTAACAATTTAAAGACTTTTTGTCCTCACATATTATAAACAATTGTTTAAATTAAAATTAAAGGAGACGAGATGGACGCAACCATCTTGATAACTTGAATAACTGAGTTAGCACATTTCACTTTGCTTGTCAAGATGGCTGCGTCCATCTCGTCTCCTTTAATTTTAATTTAAACAATTGTTTATAATATGTGAGGACAAAAAGTCTTTAAATTGTTAATATTGTAATTGTTTCCATGTTCTAATTAGTAATTTTTTCCCCATATTGATAACCAAATGTACCATTTTAACATGTAATTTTCAACCACTTTTATATGTTCCTTTAAACTTAAGCTTGATAATGACCTTCGGGTCGAAACTATAGTCGCTGTCACCTAATGCCTTGAATCTAAAACCTGAAACAATTAAAAGAAGTATGGGGAAGGTTTAGTGTCTTTATAAATCCACTTAGTTAATTGTTTTAGTCAGTTCAAAGGCGGTCTTTGGGATTTTTTCATTATGCAAACTATATGTAGTAATCCGAGCCCCTTCTCCCTTCATCTGCACCTACCGAATCACGCCTCTTAGTCTCTCAATCTCAATTCGCTTCGTAGTAAAAAGAGCGGCCTTATGGAAACATAGTATGTAGTCTGGGGTCTTTCAGGGCAGAGTACAGTTTGTAATTTTTGGTACCAAAAGTGTTTGGGTCCTATAAGAATGCTGACTAGCTAACCGACGTTACAAGACGGATTCAGTTTGGATTCAACGACCCAAAAAATCTTAAAATAAGTCCATGGTACCGAAGCCATCTCGAAAAAACGCTTAGTGCCACCAGCTTCCGGACTATAATGGCGGCAGGTATCCCAGAAATCGAGGCAATAAGACTGGAAGCTATGTAGAAAGAAGAAATGCAAATGAAAGCACTATTAAAGTAAGGGGACTGAAGATTATCATGAAGAAGGAGATTGATGAAGTCAGCGATGAACTGAGAATGAAAAATTATTAAAATTTACTGAATTGAAAATCTTTTCGTGTATCTAAATTCCTTCGTGTACCATGTTTAAGCCTAAGTCCGTGTTTAAATGTTCAGAAACTACCCTCTGTAACATTATTGATACGCCAAGAAACGGATCTGTAAAAAAATGCATTTGCAGTCCTAAATTGACTACGTCAGTGCTTGATAAGACTGTACAAGGTTGTTCCAATACTTATAAAAGAGAGATGTAAATTCTATCGTTCAATTATTTCCGTAATTTATCGGAAACAAATTTACAGAATGTGGAGTGCCGTCTGCCTTCTGATCGTCCTAGCCATCGGTTACCGACAAACAGCTACATTACGTAAGTTCTCATTGTCACGTTGGATAGCAACTGGATTTCAGGCGTGACTATCTTAAGCATGAGATTTTATTACGGCTAGAAGTCTTAAAACACCGTTTATTATTAATTAATCTTATGTTTAGCTAAATGCATGGTACCCTGCAGCAGAAGGGACCCCAATCTAAATGAATGCGCACGAAAGCATGGCCAAGAAGCAATTCCATTTGTACTCAAAGGTAAAATGAATGCAGCTTCACGTTTTCATGGGAAATTTTAGGAAACCCAGGGTTGACACCTTTACATCTTCAGGAAATAAAATATTCCGATGACACGTTATTTATACAACTTCGTAATATCGTGGCATTTGGTTTGGAGAACGTTCAAATTAAGGAAATGAAGTAAGCACGTCTCAAAAATATAATGATCCCACCTGAGAGGTTTTTCAGCTTAAATTTAACAAAGCAACATATTTTAATAGCATTATTCATTATGAAAGTCACCCTTATTGCGGATTACAGTCTTTTAGGGCATTTAGAGATGGTTCCCGTTCGGGGTAGTGGAGGAACTAACATCACGTTTGGTTTGTACCATAGTGCTCAAATGGGTCTACTTTAATTCTTTTTAGTTGGAGGCGAATACACACTTGAGTTTGATTACAAACTAACAAATAGAGCAGGCGAGAACTACATGGAAATTATAAACGACAGGTACAATTTCAAAACGAAAAAAGCATTTTTCCGATTTGACAAAAGAAGTATGTGGTATACCAAAAATGAAATGTTTCACACAATGATTGTTGTAGCCAAAAAGGTAAATCAGATTTTGAATGAAAACTGGATAAAATTCGCAAGTGACGTTGGTCCCGTGTTGTCGAGGACAATAGGAAGCGTAGCGAGATCTGTTTTTTGTACGGCAGCAAACCGGGTTCCTTACCGAAATTTCTTTCTTCCTTAATCTAAAAAGACGTAACAACTTTTTCTACATTTAATGAAATTAAGATTGTATAATGATGGCAATAAGTATTCAAAGCTTCAAAATTCTGCAACGGGCTTCCTCATTCTCCTAAACTGAAAAAAGAACTTCAGCTCGTCCATCATCTTGCTTTTAAAGGACACATTGGATAATTTCGTCTTTTTAAAAGTATGGACACTTAGCTCAATGAATGTACAGACGATACCTAGAAATGTGCCAACTCCAAGTACAAAAAACACTCCCCCTAAATTTTTCAAATCTAGAGGAGTTGCAACCGGTTGCCTTTTCTAGAATGTGTATCCTGTTAACAAATTATTCTGAATCCTGTAATACAAACCTCGCATCTTCCCCCTCCCCGCTTTTCTTTCCACCATTTCGTTTTTAACTGAGCCAGTTTTCCAGATTCTTGCAGCTCTAGGATTGCCGTGCTTAGTAGATGTCTATATTCCGAATCTGTGGCAGAAATTCGATTCTGTGATAATTTTACGTGCATCTTACCTTTTTTCATTGCGATACCGTAACCCTTTTCGTCCAGTGCACCACCCACTTGTGTTAAATTACAATGTCTTTCAATGGAATATTCGATACTGGTCGACTCCATGAAAAATGCGTAATTTTCTAATTCTGCTTTGCTAACACCATCTTCGTTGTTTGCCATCATGTCTTCAGGGTGCTGGTTCATGTATTTTTGTATTTGTGGGTAGACTGAATAGTTTGAGTCCTAGAATTACAATTTAAACGACACACACAAAAAGTGCGGGGGGTACTTTGAAAAAGTTTCTTGTGGCGCCAATGGCTTTTGCTCCATATTTTATCCCTTTTTGTGCAACTAACTCTTCGACGTTTTCAAATGGCGTAACTAGCTCCTCTACTGTTAAAAACGCTGCTAGATTGGCCGTGTACGAGGATACCATTATCAGAATGAAGAAGTACCAAACCCCTGATGCCATCCGCGTAGAAATTGCTCTAATGCAAAACTAAGTGCGTTCGGTAAGTTACAACCGCTTTACTCACAAAGGGGCTAGCTCTGTGCCCTGCTGCATAAGACTTCCAACGGTGTACCACAAAGAGTTACGAAAGCTGAACTGATTAATGAGGAAACTAGGCTCCTCGACGCAAGGGTATGGGTTAGTCCATTCACTTGGACACAACCTTCCCATAATAAAGAAACTTATGGAAACGAGTAAATAGGACGCGGCCATTAAAACCCAAACTTCACCCGAAAATGGATATGCAAAAGTGAACAGACTAGGGGGTGCAGGTTCTGGTTTTCTGTACAGTATACTTATTCCTAAAAATCAGGCTTGATATGCAGCAGCATTTCATATCTTACCTAAACTCATAAATGGCATGGTAAAGTCTACTGCGCTTTCTCGCTCAGATGTTATTGTTAAATCTGTGATAGCGAAATCGGCCCTCTATAAAACTACTGTTAGCAGACCATAATAGTGTAAACGAAAGCTACCCACGCCGGCTCTTAGTTCTCCAAGCATTCCATTCCAAGTCTTAGTACGCGCGTTGAAGGTTCCATACTGGCCGTCCTCCTGTAGTAAGATCTCATACTTGAATTCCAGCTTTTTAGACAGTTCGTGGATTACGTCAATCCCGAAACCTTCATAACGGTCATTTCCAGTGAGGGTAGCGCTAACATTTTTAAGCATTCCGTAGGGTTCAGTCTAGAAATTGGCAATGCTGAACAAATTCGCAGCAGAAGTGTACTTACCAAGGTTGTTAGTACCGTAAATCTTTTATTTTTCATGGGGTTACCATCTGTAAAACCGTAGATTTCCTTTCGAGGTGTTTGGGTGGAGTCAATTCCAAGCACTGAATTCCAAGCTCCAATTTTAATTAACCCCCCTGGCGTTAGCTCGATTACGTCTAAAGTAAAATCTTTTCTTACACCAGTTTCGATGTCAAACTTTATATTTCCTGTTAAACCTGCGAGTGTTTTCTACAAAGGCGATCGTTAAGGTGCGATGCATCAGTAAACTGCGGTATTACAGCTTTCATGAAATTAATTACACTCGATCCCTTCCTCCAACTGTCGCTTGAATTACAAAACACTGGAGCGGCATCGAACCCAGTCAGGTGTAACTCTATTAACGTCTCATGCAATAGATATACCGCGTCTAATATCAAAGCAGTTTCGGTTTGGAGCTTCCATGCCGCTAAATGATTAAACGCCTCGGCCTTCAAACCACTATCCAATCTCAACTGCTGTAACCTACGTGAAAATTCAATCACTTTGGTGTCCTCTGGGTTAATGAGTCGAATCTGCAAGCAGAACATTAATGCATGTACGGGGTTGTTGCACTTACCTACGCCTGTTACGGTTACTCCACCGTACTGATATGGGTTTAAGTCAATTGTTGACATATCCAAGTTAAGAATGAAGAAGTAATACTCGTCAGTCATAATTCCAACTTGTTGTGCCTGCTGTAAAACATCTCCCAAAGCGCTCATGGAGCAATCAACCACGTAATGCTTATCTCCAGACTTTTTCAGTTCAACGAACAGTTTTCGGTGGTCACCACTTGAATGTAATTGTCGCAAGGTAATGGTATACTGACTGCTGTCGTATATTTCTAATAAGCTCCTAATTTTCGGAAGACTGTCGTTATTCTCATAAATAACAGTAAAACTGCCCCAATTCCAAGCTTTAATCAGTTCGACAAAGCTCCTGCTTAATTCCGCTGGATCTGGATGTAAATTGATGGAAGCGTCATTTTTGCTCTGGTTAAGATCCCAGTGGACTTGAATTAAGGGGATGTCTTTGACATCACATAGGGATTTAACATACGGTGATAAGAAAGGTGACGTGGGACCAATGACGCCCACCAGACCTTCTTCGAGCATAGAGCAGAACGTGTGAGATGCAGATAATGTGTTAAAGTGCTGCACGTATCCCCAAAGAGAATGCAATTTACTTCCACTGTCACTGCTTTCGTTTATTATTTCAGCCGCAAGTTGAAAGGCTAACCTGGCATTCTCGTTGACTTCTTCAAAGAGACCACCTAAAATGATATTATTTGTACATAGTTATGGACAGCGTGAAATGAAAGCATTTATGGCACTTAAGGCCGGATATTTGCACCATCTCCTGCCCGAAGATCAATAGACAGAAACGAAAAAGGTGCAGGTCGTTTGTTTCTAATGGCTAAGTAGTAAGTCAATGCTAATTTAATGTTGCACCAAATAAACTGCTTTATAATTCATGATTCTTCAATGGATTGCATTTCTTTTTATCAAGAATGCTAGTTAGTGGGATGGCTACCTGGATTTTCATCTAAATTTACACACCAACGACGTTAGCAGTGGCACAGTTTAAACATGTCTTTTCTTCATTTACACTGCACACCTTTGCTTAAAGCTACAGACAGTAAATTTAGGATAATAGATAAGTAGCTAGTGAAAGGTTTCAGAAAGTAACGTTGCCCCCATTTAGCCTACGCTACACATCTCTCACCGCTACGGAGATTTATTTATTGATACAATTCTTATGTGGGTCTCGTATTGCCAACAGTTTTCTGATATTCATTTTTTTTATTATTAAAATTGGGATATTATGCTCGTTGACCCTTCCTCTTAGAGTTTCTACGTAGCGGCATATTGATTTGCCCCTGGACCCCCCTTAGAGGGAGAGGGGGGTTGGTTACACAAATGTTGATTTCTAATAACTGTACCATTTTTTTCAACTCTACCACAGAATAAGTAATGTTACTTATTCAATGACTCTACTAAGCTCCATGGATATGAAAACCCGTTTAAAATATTTCCGTTTTACCAAAAGGTAAGTCTATGTGAGTAGGGGTTGTCTACGCACATTTAGGCGCCAACAAGCCGATTTCTATATTTGCTTGATTTTTTCAATATTTACACAAAATCACCCTGAAACCTTCATTTTCATTCCTACTTTCTGTCAGAAAATTTAAGTTTCCATGACAGAGGCAGAGCAGACTACGTTTCCCGCCGCTTGTCACTTTAGTGGCCGCACCTGTCACTTTACCGGCCGCGCCGCCACTTTACCGGCCGCATTTGTGACATTTCCAAATGTCTATAATGATTCCTGTCATCACTGACAGATTGACATTAATACGTTTTCGGGTAAAATTTAATACAAAACTCGTCAGTAAAATGACATACCTGACTCGGAAAATAAACTACTCGGCCCCAAAGGGGCCTCACAGTTCAATATTTCCTCGACAGTAATGTATCATTTTCCTGACTTTTATGTAAATAACTATTAAAGCACAGGAGTTTCAAAGGCCTAATTTCGCCCGCATTTGAGTGTTCATAACGAAGATATAATAAAATATATGGCATAATAAAAACGTTATAAAAGTTTTAAGTCGTTTACAAGAATATAATGTAAAAGTATATGAAAAAGTGCCATCTTTAAAAAGCAAGTGGATTTTTTAAGTCATATAGTACAGGAAGTGAAGGTTTTTCCATAGCAATTTTTTCAAAATGCATCGATTAACATGAAATTTTGACAGTAGGTAGGGAATAGCCTAACGATCAAAATCTATATCATGCCAAAGGGCGCTTTTACCCTGGCGGTGGTTGCCCCATCTCGGGGGTGGCATTTTTTAACGCATTTTTGCTAATTTATTTGCAAAAGGATAGCTTTCAATCTCACTTTGGCTGGCTGGATAGCAGTAAATGCGGGCCCGTAGAAGAACGCTTGTAAAAAGACAAGGAGTGTACATGTACCTATCGGGGCGGTGTAATTAACAACTTTAGGGACGAGGCTACAAGATGTGGGGTCGGCGACATCTGGGCGCCATCCCCGAGCGTGTTATACTAACCTGGAGATTTTTCAGTTTTCTCCTATCTTCTTCTACAGTTTTGGGCCGATTGTTTTAAAATTGGTGTCGTCGGAAAGATCGTTGGGAATTTTGTTTTTTTTTCCTAGAGGCGAAATGAACCACCTTTTGCATGGCGCGCTTCAAGAGGTAGTCGACTTTTGGCGCCCAAAAGTTTCTTGGAGCTCAAATCGCGGTCACTCTTTCTCGTGTCGCCAATAAAAGCTCGAGCTATTATAAGAAGTACCCAAAGACTGAGTACTATTTTGTGCCTGGTTTTTAGCGAAATCCGCCGAAACGCACCAAAATTAATAAGAAAAAGTGTGTTCCCGAGAAATTTTGGTGTAGTCGATTTTTGGCAAAAAAGGAAGGTTATACACTGCATTTTTTTGAGGCCCGAAAAAAAAATTGTCTCAGATCGACCCCGAAAAAAAATTTTCTTATAGAATGAGGCCTGTAGAATGCATAATTTCAAACAGTTCCAAGATTGGGCTACTAATTCAAAAGTTACAGCCCTTTGAATTTTCTTTCGAAATTGGTTTCTAGTCTATAACTTTTGATTGAGAAGTCTAATCGAAAAAGTACGAATTGTTTTGGATTGGATTCTACGCACCAAAATTAATAAGAAAAAGTGTTTTCCCGAGAAATTTTGGTGTAGTCGATTTTTGGTAAAAATGGAAGGTTATACATTGCCTTTTTTTGAGCCCGAAACAAAAATTGTCTCAGATCGACCCGGAAAAAAAAATTTCTTATAGAATGTGGCCTGTAGAATCCATAATTTCAAACAGTTCCAAGATTGGGCTACTAGTTCAAAAGTACAGCCCTTTGAATTTTCTTTCGAAATTGGTTTCTAGTCTATAACTTTTGATTGAGAAGTCTGATCGAAAAAGTACGAATTGTTTTGGATTCTACGCACCAAAATTAATAAGAAAAAGTGTTTTCCCGAGAAATTTTGGTGTAGTCGATTTTTGATAAAAAAGGAAGGTTATACACTGCCTTTTTTTGAGGCCCGAAAAAAAATTGTGTCAGATCGACCCGGACAAAAAATTTTCTTATAGAATGTGGCCTGTAGAATCCATAATTTCAATCAGTTCCAAGATTGGGCTACTAGTTCAAAAGTTACAGCCCTTTGAATTTTCTTTCGAAATTGGTTTCTAGTCTATAACTTTTGATTGAGAAGTCTGATCGAAAAAGTACGAATTGTTTTGGATTCTACGCACCAAAATTAATAAGAAAAAGTGTTTTCCCGAGAAATTTTGGTGTAGTCGATTTTTGGTAAAAGAGGAAGGTTAAGTATAAATACTATGCGAAGTATTCGAATACTTCTCAAAGTATTCAAATACCTTGCGAAGTATTCGAATACTAAATATTTTGAAAGTATTTGAGTTAGAAATACAAATACTGCTTCCATAAAAGTATTTAATTACAAAGTATTTGAATACTTTAAACGATTTGAATACTAAAAAGTATTTACAAAATCGAATACTGCCCAGCTCTGATTATGTGGCTAGTGGAATTTCAAGAATAATTCTCCAAGTATTTAATATTTAAATACTTTTGATTTTTGGAAGGTATTTAGCATTTAAATACTTAAATACTTCGAGAAAGTATTTTCTCCAGGGAGTTGGAATTTCACTTAATTATGTAACGGTTCCAATGTTTCTAAACCTGATATTTTCTTGGAGCGAGCTGACCAGAGAGTATTTCGGCGGGGGCGAGTTCTATAAGTGTGCATACTCTGAGGGCAAATAATCTGACTGAGGTATTTTCGTGGGAGAATCCCCCGAAGAACAATCTGCCTTCAGCGAATTTCCAGGGTGAATTTTTGCGGGACGAATATTTCGGGGGCGGATTTTTAGGGGCGAACACTACGACGGCGAATTTTACATGAGAAACTTGTCAGGGACGAATTTTCCAAAACTGAATTTTCAAGGGAGAATTTACCACGGCGAATCTTCGCACACGAGATTGATGGTACCTATACTCTAAGTACGATAAGTGTAAAATAAATTTCAAGGCGATTACCTACTATTCACAAAAGAAAGAGTAACTGATATCGAGTCCTGTATTAGTCAGGCGAATACTGCCCAGCTCTGCGTAGATCCGTACTTTTTTCAGCAGTTAAATTAGCGCAAGCAACCCCCTAATTACCACCCTAATTAAGATTAGTCCTTCCCCTTTTCCAGTTTTCTCCAGCTACGTATTATTAATATATTCTAGAAGTGTGACCAGTTTAGAAGACTTAATTTTGAAATAATTGAAGCTAAACGTCAAAAACCAATTTCTGCAATTTTTGGACAAACGTCCTTCTCTTCAAAATAACTACAAAGCAATTGGAGATACGTAAAAAATGCTACAGCATCCAATTATAGCATTTTTAAATCCTGTCCGGGAATTTCCTGTACGACAGAAATTAAGTAAGATATCAACGTTTGAAGCGTACGCACACTACCTTGCTTTAGCTCTTTAAACTCACCCCATTTTTAAACTAAAATGTTTTAAAGGGATTTAATGTAAATAGTCTTGTATCTCTTACAAAAACCTAAAAAATGGTTTCTTTAATATACTTTCTATCATAAAAAATAATGGAGTTATGATTCAAAAACTAATCAGAATTCTTTTCGAAAGAACTCTCAAAGCACAAATCGGAGCATGATGATCTACATAACCGGTATATACTTCGTATACTACACAAAAGTTACGTACACACTTACATCCATTCCATACACCTATACACTATGCAACAGGACGACCCAAAAAGAATATAACCACTTTGAAAACCTAAATTTTAACCATGAGTAATAAAATGAGTATTAAAGTGAGTTTTTTCCACTAGAAAATAGGTTGGCAGGTGTTCACTACCACGATAATGGTTGAAATATTCGGAAATAATGTTTCAAAGCCAAATAAAGAGCGCTCATCAGCATAATATAGATTTTGAATTGAAGGGTAAGTTGGACTTAATCCCAAATTTTCATGCCAATCGATGCATTTTGGAAAAATTGCCAGGTTTCATACAATTTTAGGTTTTGTTTCCTGGACTAATAATACATCCTTACCTGATAAAATACAATGCATAAAGAACTGTCCATGTGTACCTCAAAATGTTAGACAACTTAAGGCATACAAAGGTATATTTAGGTCTGCTCAATTGTTATGACAAATTTTGCCGTATGTTGTCCACAAAATGTTTATACGATTTATGTAAAAAAGATCGAGCGAGCTTTGAAGAGATGCCAATTTCAAAGGCTCTATGGCAGGTGATCTTCGGTGATTCCTGTGCTGATAGACATAACAAAATTAGTATGGGATTGAAACCACTCAATAATCTTCTGGTCTGCAAAGTCGAAACCACTGGGCGTAGAAAGCTGAAATTTGGCATGTAGGTTCCTTGGGGATTGTGTAAGGGAGCACGAAATTCCTACGGGAACGGGAAAAACGGAAATTTATTTGAAGGTGTTAAGGTATACTCCGAAAGCTAGGTTAGTCAGATTGTGCAACAAATGAAGGTCTTAAGGTCTTAGAACCTGTTGTAGGATTAAAATCCAAATCGAATTTAAACACACCTCTCTGCCACTTTACGAACAAAATGCAAAAAGAACAATAATTTTTCATTACTAGGGATATTTTTGTTATCTTTCAATTAAATTACGCTGAAATTACTCTGTGTATACATAAATGTTGCATAGTTACTTCGCATTTTTCTGTGATTGAGGAAATAACAATAATAAAACGTGTTTAACTTTCATTGAAATAGTTCCAAAAAGTTAAGAGAAAATTCAAGTAAAATAAATCGCGGTCTAGCAATCCACGACTCTTGGTGCATTTTCAATGTCAAGGTTGGTAATAAATGAAAACACAACTATACTAGGCAAGAATGTTAGTTCGTATAGCGTTTCGGTCTTACTGTACATTTATGTAGTATAATTTACACATACCAATCTTTAATTCTTGGCCAAAACACAACACAAACGCACAATTAAGAACAAAAACTAACGCCACCATGTCAGAAATAAACAGACGCGGCAATCTTAAATTAGTGAATGAAAACTTGGCAGCACACAAGCTGTTATTTTAAGTACAATACAACCCTCCCACTCGAATACTATGACTATAATTAGCTATTGACGCCGAAAATGAAAACGAAACGTATTTATTTTATTTTTATGCACAAATAGAAAGTGTTATGATTAATCTTACAAAGGTCTCATAGCACACAAACATTCTATAATGAAGTATTTACAAAATGTAGTGGATATGTATAAACCAAACACATCCATACGCTGCCTCGAAGTGTGGATGAGCTTGATTTGGACTTAGCAATTGGACGACATACAGCTTAGTTTGTGTTTATGGAAATTAGTCGTACTGACTGTTCTTAAATATAATCTATAACCAACATTTATATAGTGAACAACAGAAAACACTCCTCCATTTTTCTTGAACACAAAAATCGTAAAAATCCTAAATTATTAACACTGTTAACTATATTTATATGTACAAGTTTAGATTATGTACAAAATGTATATTATCAGCCTTAAACTATAAAATATTTTAACAATGAGGAAAACATGTAGGTACCTATCTGCGTAAAAGATTTTTTAGACAAAATTTGAATTAATTAACTTCCCAATAAATTTAACTAAGTGGTTCCTTATCTATAACAAAACCATAGGCAGGATAAGAGCCAAGTTGCGGCAAGCGGTTTTCCTCAAATCCCGTATTGGTACCGCTTGATTTAGTCTTGATACGGAGAGGTTTAGATGAACCGTGGCATCGTAGTGCGAAACGTAATTCGGATGCCATTTCAGCACATAACGAACTCTAAAACACAATACTCATTACTAAAAGGTACTCGGTTTTGTTTCTGTGTGCATAATCAGAAATAAATGTTACGTGTTCTCATTCCCCAAATCAACTATTTAGGGGCAGATCTATTGGGAGGTAGGTATTGAGCCGTCCGTCCAATTTGTGCCTTTATAAACACATATTTTTTAATACTAGCTGTATCGGCTCCATTATCATTCCGGTAACGCTCCTATCCCCAATCGGCAATCGGCTTATCATAGGAGTTCAATTACTTTAGATTACGTAGACGCTTTTATACGTATGATCATTTGGTTGAATTGGCAATCCTCCCCTGAAAGTTAACTGTGACAAAGTAATTGCGATTAAATTTACCAAGAATGGGAGCAGTTTTGCCATTCTCTTTGTTTAATATCTTTCACTATAGAATTATTAATCAATGTGAGCCGTTACAGTTCAAATGACAGAGCCTCTTATTTTGTTACGGACACATTCAGTGCAATAAATCGAATTTTACGATACTAATAAAATTGCAAATGAACCATCTACGTGTTCAAATTCGATTTTCCAATTAATGTGTCGCGTTCGTTTTGACCCAGTCTTATATCTGACAATACTTTTTATTGTAGGAGCGTCACGTTTCATGTGTAATTTGGGATGAAAACTAAATTCACTTTATCCATTTTTCAACTTGTTATACGCCAGTGGAATCGGTAAATTCTTGTTTACTTGAAGGGTTTCTTACGCTAGATTTCTAACAGATATGAATCCTTACTGTGTCATTTCATTTTCATTTCAGTTTTGCGATCACGACACCAAAATTTTACATACTCAGAAGTAATCCCCTCAGTAATGATTGCAACTAAAACGAAAACTCTATACTACCAAACAGAGAATTAAACTCTCTTTTAAACCAGTACCATATTACACATTTCTAATTTAACGTTTTTGATGTGGTACTTGTACCTAATTCAAAGGGGGTTTTCTGTATACATATAAAAAGCATTGTATATGAAACTCACATAAATGCTAATCAGCGTTGGATTAGGAGAGGGGGGGAGGGGGGGCTATAATGGTTATACCCTCGAAGCCTTTTCAATGTCATTGCCTACTTCTCGTTATATATTTTCATTAATTTTTAGTGTGCTCCATGAATATTCATTGTATGGGTTGTCAGGGTGACGCTTAATTAACTAAAAAGATCGTTTTTACTATTTCCGAGACATTTTGAATCTACCACTGAGTATACATTGAACAGGTTAAGGGCCCAGAGCCGCAAGAGTAGCAAGAAGAAGGAAAACTTGAAAAATATACAGGGTGACAATTTGAAAACTTACCACCCCCCATATCTTAGTAAATAAACGAGATATTTAAAAAAATCAAAATCCGTTTCGGTAATTTGGAGGGGGAATCACAATGACATAGTTGGCGACGCACCCCCTCCAACCCCCTGCGCCCCAGCCACCCCAACTTTTAAATCTTAAATAGTGACCCCCCATGTGTGATACGTCGTTGGAAAGCTCTGAAAAAATGCTTTCCAACCATACCAAATAGCATTACATTTAGGTTAGTAATTATCGTGCAAATCAAAAAATAAACTAATATGATACATTTGAAATCTGTCGTATTTAAAACGCAACCGGCGAACATAGACGAACTAAGACAGAGAATAATTCAAGAATGTCGAAATATTGCAAAACCAACATTTGAAAAGGTTCGACAAGAGTTTGAGAATAGATTATAACTGGCGATCAAAAATGAGTTGCTGTCAAGTCGGCTTTGGAAGTTCAAGTTAAATACGATTTTCCATGTTTATTTTTTGATTTGCACGATAATTACTAACCTAAATGTAATGCTATTTGGTATGGTTGGAAAGCATTTTTTCAGAGCTTTCCAACGACGTATCACACATGGGGGGTCACTATTTAAGATTTAAAAGTTGGGGTGGCTGGGGCGCAGGGGGTTGGAGGGGGTGCGTCGCCAACTATGTCATTGTGATTCCCCCTCCGAATTACCGAAACGGATTTTGATTTTTTTAAATATCTCGTTTATTTACTAAGATATGAGGGGTGGTAAGTTTTCAAATTGTCACCCTGTATAATCTGTTGTACATTTTTGAACTATTTATGTGATTGTGACTCCCCTTCCGAATTAACGAAACGGTTTTTGATTTTTTTAAATATCTCGTTTATTTTTCAAATTGCCACCCTGTATAATCAATAACTATTATTCAATCATACGATATCTTACATCGTTGAAAATTGAATAAAAACTTTTTTAAACATATAAAGATCCACATGACTGCCATATACGCATATAACAAAGTTCTCCTACAGAAGTGGGAAATTTACGTATTAAACTCTTTCATAGCTCTGATAATTTCTCTGGAAGCACTGGAACTGTGGCTGTTGAGGACGCGTAAGGAAAGTTTAAGGAGTTTCTCTAGTCAAATCCGAGATCGTAAACCTTCACTTGTAATTAGTATAAATGGGGTCGTATTTGTATTTTATTGTTCAGTTGTTTGCTGATGATGACAGTCTTGCTGTCGAAATGCGTTTGAGGTTTTAATATTATATTATTGTGGTTTATTGGTGTCTTACTTTTGCAAAATAAAAGCGCATCTTTATTTCTCAATTAAATGCTGATTAGGTGTAAAAAAACATAATAAAATCAGAAACTTTATATATCTACTACAAGCTTCTGCAAAAACCTTCACTGGGCACTTCCAGTCTTGCAGACTGGTTCTCCACGTCCTCTCTAATTTTGTTTATTGTAGAAGATTTGTAAGAATCTTATAATTTATGTAAAAAATCTACGGAAATTGTCAGTCATTATTAATTATTAGACGATAATAAGTATTCAGGAATGCTTGAACCAAAGGAATTTTCAATGGCATGCAATTAACCCAAGGCATTAAAATATAAGTTAAGTAAAAAGCTCATAATATCCCTGTCAGGTTGTGTTTATATAAGGATCTTTTAGCCTTCACTAACGCTTTATTACGTCGCTGTTTCTTGTCAAATAATCGGGGAGGTTTTTAGTAATTATGTTACAGCAATTACGTGAGCGGCTACAGAAGTCGCATTAAAATTCATATCGGGTCGTGAAAAAATCGTTTGCGTATAATTTGAATGCCTGATGCTGAACTTTGAAGTACGAAATATTCTATTGGATTTTTCACTTCTTTTCATACAAGAGATTCCGTTAATTTTAATTTATTCGAGTACGTGATAAAAATTGTCTCTGGCACACTTTTTTTGAATAAGATCTGCCCCTTTACGTATTTGAATTCTAACGCAAATAAGTTTCAAAGCAAAAACTACAATAAAAATAGTACCTAAATAATAAACCGATAACATATCACTCCGCCTTGTGGATTACTATCGGCGCAATTCCATTGATTTTTCAGAGGATACTTTTGAAATTGAGTCGGCAGTGTCAAGTCTTCTAATCTTCTCACTACTTACCTCCTAGTTATCCAAAATAACATGAGAGCAAAACAGTAATAAAATATACATAAATAGTCATCCGGTACAATAACATACCTACTTATAAAAGCTTTACACTAACCTACAATGTACACCTCCTTTCAATTAGGTTTCGTTAGTTCAATCGTTGTGTAATTTGACATATACATAAAGTAAGCGAAATCAATACCTATCGTTCATTATATCGTAATTTGCTGTTTGCTTGCCGATAATAAGTGGTGGAAAAAGAAAATTTGTCGGTCCACTAACTTTCACATTGGAATTATATCGCCTTTCACAGTAATTTGCCTTTGTTGAATGCCTTGAATATAATTAATATTTCAGATTACAATACATAGAGTCCCATTGAAGTGTTAATTGGGGTGGTCTGAAACTCATGTGGGTTGGATACTTGAAGGGAAAGTTCCTGAACAAGAAACGCGTAGCAATGGTATGACGGTGAGTTCCCTATTTACAAATCCATCATAACGGAGTTGTGGCAGCTCGATGTAAGTATAAGGTATCGAAGATCCCTTTAACCGTAGGTCAAAAGATGAACTTTTATTAGCATTAAAACAATGGTTGGTTCAAACATTAGTGGTTAATACAGATAACAGAAACGAAGTTCAACTACCCTTGTTAGAAAGACACCCTTCATTACCTACAAATTATTAAATTGCTAAGAAAAGGCTCAAAACGACGATACAAAAATTGGAAAAGTAGAATTTAAAAGCCAAGTATGATTAGGTATTCAAGGAGTGAGAATCATGAAAATTTCAAAAATTGAACAGTGTTCGAACAAAGTACATTTTTTACCCGCATCGACCCGTGATAAAGGAAAGTTCGACAACTGCCATTAAACCAGTTTTGAACGCATACTGCAGGGGGAAGGACCAACCTTCATTGAAAATGTGTTTAGAGAAGGGTTGGAATTCAGCTCTCCGACAACTCTATTACCAAGCAAGATTTCGTGGGATGTAGATGAGACAGCAGAAAAGTTTAGAAGTTGAGAACACGATTTGGCAAATCTTTTGAGAATTGAGATTCCCCGTTATGCCATGCTTGGAGGATCACATTCAAAGGAAATAACCTTATCGGCCCGTGTGGCACAGTTCAGTTGAAGCTGGACTGCGGAGCTAAGGGTCCCTGGTTCGAATCCGGATTTGGGCATGGATATTATTGTAAATGTATAGTGGGTTGGGTTGGTACAGCAATCTTGGTTGGCCCACTTAAAAATACAGGCAAAATAAATGTTTAAAAAATAAAAATATTTACTGATGCTTCTAAAGATGCCAATGCTGCAGTTGTGTTTTGCCGTATAGCACAAGGAAATGAGGTATATGTTCATTCGCTGGCAGATAAAATTAGGGTGGCACGTATCGGAAGAAAGAAAGTATCAATTCGCCTAGAATTGCTGATTGCCACTATTGGAGAGAGAATCTACACACAAGTAGTAAAAAACTTAAGTCACAAACATGAATGCTTTTTTGGAGTGATTTTTCCACTGTAATATTTTGGATATAGCGAAATGAGGAGTGGGGGACCTTTGTG